AAACAAACCAGCCTAACCAAGAAAGTTAAATTTTGGCTGCATAATGGTTGCTTAAGGGTTCCTTTAAGTCCCGAGAACCCCTTGACTGCACTGCAAAAAACAGGCCACAGTTGAAATTGTATTATGAGTTAAAGTTAGTTTGGGAGTGAGCTTTGAAAAGCACAATGAAAGAGAGAGTTGAATCTGAAGACATCTGGGATGCCGAACCTTGCTTTCCCATGGTTTATCAAGCACTGATTGTTACAGGTAATTTTAAATACTTTAAAGTGTGTTGAGTTACATTACAAGATTTATTGCTGCTTTATTGACTGTGACCCAAAACAGAAGTCCTTCCTTCTGTTGGAAGGATCCTTGCCTTCGTATAATATTGTCTCAGGGAAAAATTTGCTTTTCAGGAAGCTGTATCAAAGCTGAAGAAAGGCTTTGTACAGTATGGAAAACAGCTATTTAAATTCTCTCAAAATGGTTGTAATCAAGCAGTTTCAATGTAGGTCAAATGTTTAAGTTGCCTTAAATAGTACAAAAATTGTGCTATCATTTTTTGTTCTTTGGTACAAATTGCATTTAATCTGAAGTTATAACTTTCTGAGTGGTGCAAGCAATGGAACCAGAGGATGCAAAACTTACAGGCCTTCAAGAAGAAGAAAATGGAAAGTAGAAAGAGCTGTGTTACATATTTCTTCTGGTGAACAAGGTGTGCCTTGAAAGCCTTCACTTTTCATTCTTGTCCTTTAGCTGACTCTTTTAAGGATACTACTACTACTACCCATTACCTTCTGTGCCCTTGATTGAACCAGCAACTAAATTAATGGTGTGCTTACTGCCAGATGTATGGAGGCTGTGAATTAAAACTGGAATGCAGTAGGTGTCATCTTTGCCAATGACCACTCTCTGCAAGACAGACTCCTCTGTGAATCTGCTTCTGAGTTGCTGCAGTTTTGTATTTAGCCAGAATGAGACTGCTGAGTCACCTTCTAATATAGATAAAACCTATATCTTTAGGAGTTATTTGACTACTAGAGCGCATATAGTTCATGGCAGTGGAGTTTGTACTGGCAAAAGTAGTTTTGTGTCTGTATTTGGAGGCTTTGCTGGCATAGGGACCCAAGCAAAATCCTTAAAAGCGCAGATTAAGCCAAATGTTGTATTTTGGGGGCAGTTCTTTCTGGGTCACTGTGATATTATTAAACTATCATAAAGATATTCTGACTCAATGTCAGAGTTTGCTTCTTTTTTTTTTTAATGTAAAGTTATTCCATTTCAGTGAGGGATCTAAATTTCTAGACAAGGTGTTTGTTACAAACAAGCATCTCTCTGAGGAGAAATGTATACATTGAAGTGTTTATTCTGTCTTTCCTAGGCCAAGGCCAAGAAATGACTGTCCTGTTTTGAAAAACTTATTTTGTCACTGGCAAGTAAAAACCAGTGAGTCATGGGTTAGTTTTTAGCTCAGCAAAGATTAGGTGCCAGATGATCGATCTATGCACAAGCATGAATCATTTTTATCCAAGATGTCGGTTCTGAGCTCCTGCTGTGGTTGCAAAGAGCTGTCTCATCTTTCCTTCCTTCAGGTAGAATGAGAGAGAGGATATTCTACTCATTTGAAAGTACTGTATTATTACTGAAAATGCATGCTGAATGCTTTCACTGCATATTTAGTAGAACTGTTTTGTATAAATTACCTGCATTGCTTTCCTTTAAATGTCTTTTGAGCAAGTAACTGGCATGTGTGCAAGATATATCTGCATCTTGGTCTGCAGAGCAGTGGATCCATGTCAGTAAGAGACTCTGACAGCTCTCATAGAGAGGAGAAGCACAAAGATGGCCCTCTGAGCTTCCGAAGCCTCCTTAATGGGGTAGTCCATATTGTTCCATAGTTTCCCATAACAACAAGGGATTATATATACACAATTAATCTCATCATGGTTCTTAGTGTTCTTATGATAGAAAACTGAAATATAGTTGCCCTTCACGTTAGGTGAGTAGGTGAGTTAACAACTTGTAAGACTCCATATGTGTACTAGCAGATACGAGATCTAAAAAAAAAAAAGAAAAATAACTTTGTGATTATAAAGCACAATGGTAGCATTACAGTGATTTCTGGATGCATATGAAATCTCCTAGTATCAGATTTTCAAAGAACCAGCCATCTGATTTCATACAAAATTTAGAAATTATGAGCAAAATTTAATTTGATATAGCTTTAGCGATACCAAGAAAGGACTCGGAGAAGACATCCAATCCATTCCTTGCTCCAATGAGGAGCCTTCATCATTCTGGACATAAGTTTGTCTAACTTCTTAATGTGGCCAGAGATGGTGTTGCCAGTGTTTCAGTGCACTTTCAGACTCACTTCACTTTTAGAAATCTCTTTTCTGACTTAAACTTGTTTCACTTTAAGATCACCAGCACCAGTTCAGATTGGTACAAGCATGAGGGGTGCTTATTTTACTTTGTTTGCAGTTTACCTTTTATGTAATCGAAAACTTAAATGTCTTTCCTCAGTCTAAAACCTTCACCTTTCAGGTTACTGGAGCTGAGAAAAAGATCTTCCCCTTGCACTTATGATTGCTGTATAGCCAGGCATGAGTTCCTTTCAGGTCATGAGCTCTCTGTTTGGATGCAGAAGGTGCTCGCCCTAAGGACCTGAAAGCTGCTCACCAAGCAGTAGCACTAACACCAGTAACACTGGTTACCACAATCTGATATGATCAGAGGTATCTTCTAGGCAATGGAGATTTAATTTTAATATGTTTGCATGAGAAACATTCTCTTTTTGTTTTAGTGGACCTTCTCTTTGGGGTGGGGATTTAAGAGTAGAGGTGCTGGTTAGGTTGAAACCCGCTAGGGACAATTAACATGCAAGACTAGAAAAATCTGTGTTGGAATAAGGTAAGAAACACCAATTCCAGATAGAATAAAAAGCAGTCTACTAGAAAGAAGAATTTAAGTAATGACAGTATTTCTGATAATTTGAAATTGAGTGACTGTCTGTTTTTAATTGTCTATAGTAATGCAAACAATCAGAAACTGTTTATCTAAAGCAGGATTTGAGAGTTATCCAGTAAATACTATGTGAAACACAATCACTCTCTATATTCTTGCAGAGAATAGCAATTCTCAGCTATTTTAAAAGTATATCAGTCCTAGTCACAAGAAAGCAGTCAAAAAGTTTTCTTAATTGTAACTAAGGTAACTAGAGAGCCATTTAGAATGATGAGCCCAGGGGCTGAGTACCAGTCTCTACCCAGGTTAAGGGTAAACAAGAAGCTGTGCTGAATAACAGTGCAACTCATTTCAGAGCACAGCAGATCTTTTAAGGCAAAATATACTCCATTTGATATGACAATGGCTTAGTTTTCAAGCATATCTGTAGAACCTTTCTGAAGATAGTGGAATATAGAGACACCAGAGGCAGAAGTGACTTATCTTTGAACCTCAAAGCTTTGCACCTTTCCAATTAGGTATGTTTTTTGGGGCCCATATATTTTCCAGTTTTCCTTGTAGCTGGCAACAACTACATGTACCAAATATTAAGAAGGTAAAGGAAATGCAAGGAAACAATAGAATATAGTACTTTCAAATGCACCAGCAAATACAGAAACTGTTCCCAGATGCGGTCTGAAAAGAAAAATGGTTGATTGAATTTGGATTTTTCCAAAACATCTGCTGCTGTGGTTTGATGACCAAAATGGAACATTAGAAAAGGAATGATCTCAAAATTGTAATTCAAGAAAACAATCCCATTTCTGAATTATAAAAGGCAGATTTTTTTTTTCTTGTTATAAGGGAAATGTATGAATGGCAACATCGGTTTTGACCTGGACTATTTGGTTACTGTGATTGTGTCACTGTTGACATAACATGAAATTTAAGTACCTTGCAGCTTGAAAGTGGCCTTTCTTCTGCTGTACAACAATGATTTTTTTTCTTCCATTATTGTACTATTGGTTTTGTTGGTTTTTTTAAGGAATGTGGTAAGTTCATAAAACAGGACTGGCTGTTATTGACACCTCCTGACAGTTGCTGAGATCACAGAGTGCAGGTCAGGGCAGCCTTTGGATTTGTTAGTTACACCAAGACTGCACACAGCTGTTACAATAGTTTCTTACTTGCAGGTGTCAGCTATTCCATGACACTACTTTTGTCCGTGGCTTGCCATCATAACTTTGAGGCTGTCAGGATCTGTAGTAACCACCTTCTGTAACAAGAGCATCTATCATCATAGTGAAAATGCTATCCTCTAAGAAGAAATTAAAGATAGCATACAGCATTGTCTAAAAGTATACACGTGCAAACCCTCTGAGCCGCTGCCACCAACACACTTGAATTAGCTTTACTTTGCCCTTGTGATGAACGGGAAGGGATGATAATGCTGCTTTGAAATACAGACCAGATTTTGTTGGTGCATTTGAATTTATTTGGGTTTTTTTCCAACTTCTTTACACACTGCACCAAACAAGTCACACGGTTTATTATTTTAGACTTGTAAATTGGAAAAGAAGTCAAGTGAGTAGTCTGGAACATTGGGGCCTTGCAGACCTTGGTGGGTAGTTTGCAGCAGTAGTGTGAATGTGCTCTTGTAAGACTCTTGTATGGAATCTTCCACACCCTGAACGATCAGATCTTCTCTGATTGTCCTCATTGTTCAACTGTGAGAAAAGCTTTTATCCACAGTGCACATTTGAACCTTTGGGGACGGTTGCTGGATATTTTGTATATGTTATATATTTATTTGCTTTCCTGAGAGTTGTTGTGATCATTCCAGAGCACTGCAGAATGATGTTATGTAGATAGAGTGACTAAGCTTGTCAAAGACTCAATTGAAAATAAACACATAAAAAAGAAAAAACTCCAAACTGGAATAGGTATGTGCTAAGAGCCCTTTTTGTGATAAGTGAATCTCTAGCATTATTTCCTTGTAGCTGATGGATGGTAGAGGAACAGCTTCTCAACTTTCCTTAAATTTAATCCTTTCATGACATGTTTGTTAGCTGGAATACCCATGCTACCAGTCTGGGTCAGATTTGATGCTATACCATGTGTACACTTGCCACAAATGAAAGGTAAAGAGTCCTAGGATGAGGTGAAGAGACTTATTCCCCGTTACTTCAAGTTTCTTCCTGCATAAATTCATTGGTTTAGTGCCTCATTTGGAATCTTTTCACAAATTTTAAAGGCCATAGCATTTCTACCTTTGTGGCTTGAGGGGTTGCATGCTTCAGCTAAGGTGCTTCCATAGGAAGTTTATTTGGCGCTGCTGGTCTGCAGTATGCTCTCCTCATAAGGAGGCACTGGGTCTGGAGAGAGCTCAATGTGAGCCTCTTCCACGGAAGTCTTCATGGTGGCCTCCTCATATGATGGAGGCAAACATAGAGAGAGGAATGTGGCATCAGGGACCAGCGTGGAGTAGTGGAAACTCTGTTCGCTGTTCCAGGGCAGCGCAGAAAGGAAATTGGACACATCATGTTCAGGCAGGGCCTCAGGAAGGTCGATGCTGAAGATCTGGCCCTGCTGAGTGGGGCGCTGGCAACGGCGGTACAGGAAGAGCAGCAGGAATGCCAGGAAGAGCATCATGGTGGCAGGCAATATGATGCACAGAAATGGTTCTATGTCGTCTTTCGTTGAACTTGTCTGCTTTCTGCTCTGTAAACAAAGCAAATAGGTAGTGTGTTGGATTCTTGGAGACCTCTTAATGAGAGAGCAAAAATGTGTTCTCCATCTCCCCCCTTATGATATAGAAGTCCCTTTTCCAAATTTCTTTCTGTCTGCATTAATGTCAGTCAAACACTATGTTTTGCAGACTCCTGAATTTCCAAATTCTATTTGCTGACTCATTAAAACAACTCGTAGTTAGAGACAAAAGAAATGGAGAAGTTGGAAAGAATGTTGCTTTTCTAGGAAACCCTGTATCCAACGGGGAAAAACCCCAACAACCTGGAAGTGTATGTAATTTTGTTTGACACTGACATTTTGTTGCTCTTGGATTATAGAGGGACCAGTCCACTTTGCAGGAGATTAGTCAAGCTTTTAAAATTTGTGAGAACAGTGAATTGCAGATGATCCAGATGAAGCAACATCTAGTGCTGTTTCTTTGTATTTGGGAAACTGTTTAAAGAACAAATGTTATGACAATTAGCCCTTCAAAACAGGGCCCATTGCCTACAATACCTATTCTTTGGGTTGTTCTAATCTCACAGGTCAGACCCTGGCATGGTGTGTTAGTAGGGCCTGAACTGGAGCTCTTTCTTGAGCTTGTTCTGCCAGCTTTCCAAGAATCATTTTCCCCTGTTTAAAACTGTGGAAAAAGAACTTCTTGTGTAAGAGTAATAACAGTCATGATTGTTACTGTCAACTTTATTTTCTGCAACATGTAGCACAATAGGCCTCTGTCCCACAGCTTTTAAATTGTGCTGTAATGTTAACTGGAATTACAAGCTACTAAAAAACCTGCAACAAACAAAACCAACAAAGCCATTTGTGCACTTCTGTTGTATTAGCTTTAGTTTTAAAATTTAATGTATCTTTTTTTCAGTATGACTATCTTGCTCTAGTTTCTAATTAGTAGATCTCATTCAGAGTCCAGTCGAGTGTGGGAGGAAAACCCAAACCCTATAATGCTATTTATTATCAACTCATTCCCTTTGTAAGTTTCTGAAGAGTGCTCTCAGATTACTTTTTCACATTTGTATGGTGAGACTCAACAGGTCAATAGATCAGATTTCCTTTATTTTGAATGAAGGTGCCTATTCAAGCTAGGAGAAGTTGAGTGGTTCTTTCCTCAAAGCATTTGGAAGCAGAGATGCGAACTGGCTGTTTGCAGCAATAGCTTTGTGAAAAGGGCCAGTAACCCCAGTGCCCCCTTCTTAGTCTACAGAAACTTTCTGTGCTTATTCTTCCAAGAATTACTACAATTCTTCCAGCTACAAAATCACACTGCAACCTACATTCAACTGATTTTCTACGAGGTATTTGTAACCTCTCTGCTTTGTTGTCATATTATAAAATTCTACCCTAAGAAAAACAAAGTAAATAGGTTTTGACTTCCAACAAATATCATAGGGCAGATTTCTTTTTTTTTTTTTTTTCCTGAAGTATTGTGAGTCTGAAGCCAAACCCATTAAAGTAATTTTAAAATGTATTGAAACTTTTGTGGGTAAGCTATTAAGCTTTTTTTTTTTTTTCCTAGCTGTCTTTTACCCAAAAAATGCATACTAAAGAACTCTTTCATATTTACTGATCATTTTTTATTAAAGAGCTTCTGGCAGTACAAGTTGTTGTCTTACCTGACTATTAAATGGGCTACAGCAAAGAGCAGAGCTGGAAGAAACTGTTCCAGCTGTTCTTTTAATCCAGTCATTAAAGAATTTTTTTAAAATGAGGGGATTTTTCTTTAAGTTCATTAATGCTTTTTTAGTGGGTCTTATGAGGGGCATAAAAAAATCCTGGGAATATGAAAAGAAATATTCAGTATTGTATTTGTGCAGTACATATACAGAGACTCATTCATACTAATGTTACCGATACTCTTACGGTAAATATTTTGAAGAGCTGAGCTTATATTGGACAGCATTATTCACAATCAGTTAAGAGCAAATTTTTGAGATCCAAGTCTAAGTTCTGGGGTTTATTTCTAGGGAGCAGGTTAAGTGCTGTTCTTAGGACCTGTGAGTTGTACAGTGTTCTGGTGGTTTGTGAGGACAGGGAGTGAGATTGCCAGCTTTTCCTACACGAGATTAGTGAAAGGTATATAAAGCCCTGATTATCCTTTAAACTCGATGCAGCTTCCCTATAAATTTCACTGAAAGGATATTCGTGTGTTAAATAGTGGTCAAGGACGGTGTATCCTTCATGTGCTGGTGGAAGCACAGCCTGGTGTTATGGGTGCCTGATACATCCTGTTATAAGACACGGCCTCTTACAAATATTGGATTTCAGAGAGCCCATGGGATGGCAGGAAGACATGGGAAAGATTGGTGGGTTGGATGTGGACTTGAAGCACAGGATGAGAACTGATGTTTCTGAAGTGAGGAACTGTGAACTCCTCAGGGGTGGGAAGAGTGGAGAAGGGTACAGATCAGAATTGTGCAGCAGTGTGGAAGGAGAGCCTAGGCTTGTGAGAGCAAGATATAAAACTATGGGGAAGAAAGCCAAAAGAGAACCAAGACTGAGGGCAGTAGAACTGGATAGGACTGAGAGTAGAAATCTGAGGAACAACACTCTCACTGCAGCAGTGCCATTCTTTTCACATAAGAAGGAAAAAGGAAAGGGCTAGTGAAGAACTATGAAGAAGGAGAAGGAAGGAAAAGGTTAAAAGTTTGATAGAAGGAATTAATGAATAGTCTTGGGTCTCAGGGAAATAAATTGCTCCAAAGCCTTAACTGGAACCCAGTGCTCTTGTGCCTTGTAAAGAAATACCCATAAAGAGAAATGTGTAAAACATATTATTGTTGAAGGGGAAAGTTTGCATCTAATGGTAAAAAAAAAAAAAAAAAAAATGGAAGAAGTGAAACTATTTGTAGTATAAGCCAGCTCAGATGACCACAGTCTGTGAAGTAGGTACAAAAGGACAGCTTTGAATGTCAGTGGGTTACTGGCATAAAAGCCCTCCAGGAGTAACCTGTAACGTTGTTTCTAAAGTTGCAAAATCAAGCTCTGAAGGTTGAATAAATGCCAGCATTTTGGAAATCTGTAATTCCTTAATTTTTTCTGTAATGCATATAATTTTTAATTACATTATTGTGCACAAAGTGCCTACTCAGGTTTGTGATAAATTGCTTAGGGAAGAAGACCACAGTACCTCAGGGTACTGTGCTGCAGGATGTGTAGGGTACGTAGTGACTGAGTCAGAAGAGTCAGGGATTGAGAGGACTGCCTCCTAGTGTGGGATAGCGAATGCTGTCCTGACGAGCTGCCTTCCTGCCTCTGTTACTGAATGTTTTAAGAGGAGGGAAAGACAGTTCAGCAGAGGTGTTTGTTGTGGGTTACTCACTGGTTATACCTTGCTTAGAATGCCTAGGTTGAGATCCCTGGGTCTGGTCTGCAGAAATTCTGCATCTGTATTGCTGCACCTGAAGGGGAAAGAGGGATGCCCTGAACCTGCAAGTACTTTGTTGCACCGAGGGATCCAGGCAAAAATTGTATAGGTTATTATGAAACAGTTCATATCCTCTTGTACTCCCTGAAGTGGTCAGGTGATTGGACTAGATTTTCATTGCAGGTCCCTTCCAACTGAATTACTCCTATTTTATCCTATTCTATGCAAAATAACTACTGAATAGATAGCAACCAGGCACTTGTGTAATGTGTGCAAAAGGAGACATAATAAATTTGGTTTTTTGAAGAAGATGCAGTAAATAAGATCCTGAGATGTATGCTGAGAAAGGGAGGAAAGTAGCACACTGAATGGCTAGTAATGAAATGAATACCACGACAAGTTGCAGAAGCTATGGAAGGAGAGGGTGAATCAAGCCACCCGCAGAGCTCAAAGCTGCCCAGCTGGTATTGGACATTGCTGAACGAGAGGCGGGCAAACTTTACCTCTACACGGACTCATGGATGGTGGCCAATGCCCTGTGGGGGGTGGTTGGATGATGGAAGAAGACCAATTGGAAACGAGGGGAAACCTATCTGGGCCGCTGATATATGGCAAGACATCGCTACCCGGTAGGCTTGTGAGAGCAAGATATAAAACTATGGGAAAGAAAGCCAAAAGAGGAGCAAGACTGAGGCAGTAGGAACTGGATAGGACTGAGAGTAGAAATCTGGGGAATGACACTCTCACTGCAGCAGTGCCATTCTTTTCACATAAGAAGGAAAAAGGAAAGGGCTAGTGAAGAACTATGAAGAAGGAGAAGGAAGGAAAAGGTTAAAAGTTTGATAGAAGGAATTAATGAATAGTCTTGGGTCTCTGGGAAATACATTGCTCCAAAGCCTTAACTGGAACCCAGTGGTCTTGGGCCTTGTAAAGAAATACCCATAAAGAGAAATGTGTAAAACATATTATTGTTGAAGGGGAAAGTTTGCATCTAATGGTAAAAAAAAAAAAAAAAAAATGGAAGAAGTGAAACTATTTGTAGTATAAGCCAGCTCAGATGACCACAGTCTGTGAAGTAGGTACAAAAGGACAGCTTTGAATGTCAGTGGGTTACTGGCATAAAAGCCCTCCAGGAGTAACCTGTAACATTGTTTCTAAAGTTGCAAAATCAAGCTCTCAAGGTTGAATAAATGCCAGCATTTTGGAAATCTGTGATTCCTTAATTTGTTCTGCAATGCATATAATTTTTAATTACATTATTGTGCACAAAGTGCCTACTCAGGTTTGTGATAAATTGCTTAGGGAAGAAGACCACAATACTTCAGGGTACTGTGCTGCAGGATGTGTAGGGTATGTAGTGACTGAGTCAGAAGAGTCAGGGATTGAGAGGACTGCCTCATAGTGTGGGATAGCGAATGCTGTCCTGACGAGCTGCCTTCCTGCCTCTGTTACTGAATGTTTTAAGAGGAGGGAAAGACAGTTCAGCAGAGGTGTTTGTTGTGGGTTACTCTCTGGTTATACCTCGCTTAGAATGCCTAGGTTGAGATCCCTGGGTCTGGTCTGCAGAAATTCTGCATCTGTATTGCTGCACCTGAAGGGGAAAGAGGGATGCCCTGAACCTGCAAGTACTTTGTTGCACCGAGGGATCCAGGCAAAAATTGTATAGGTTATTATGAAACAGTTCATATCCTCTTGTACTCCCTGAAGTGGTCAGGTGATTGGACTAGATTTTCATTGCAGGTCCCTTCCAACTGAATTACTCCTATTTTATCCTATTCTATGCAAAATAACTACTGAATAGATAGCAACCAGGCACTTGTGTAATGTGCGCAAAAGGAGACATAATAAATTTGGTTTTTTGTAGAAGATGCAGTAAATAAGATCCTGAGATGTATGCTGAGAAAGGGAGGGGAAAGTAGCACACTGAATGGCTAGTAATGAAATTAATATCATGTCCTGTATAGCTGTGGAAGGACATTAAGTGTGTCTTAGTACAATCTGCAAAATAGTAGCATGTGAGGCAGGTAGGATTAAGTATTGGGCAATATGCTTTTTTTTCTGTATGCTAACAGATGGCAGCAAGGCCCAGTTTTCCTCAGTCTATGTTTCAAAGGGTTTCTATCTGGGTGAAATTATTTGTAGGCTACGTAGTGTATTATTTGAGTTGAAATAGTTTTTAATAAGTTAATACAGATGCAGAGAACCTGAACAGGGAGTTATATATCCATTTTGATACTGTCTTCTGCCAAGCATTTTACATGGGCTGATTTCAGTTTGAGATGTAGTTCAAAAAGCTGATGAACTTCTTGTAGGTAAATCCATATATATTATCAAATGCATTGGGATACAATTGATCAGTATTAGTCCCTGCTTTTCCATTTTGTGCCCATTTCTTCAATGACTGACTAAGGGGCTAGTAAAGAATGTTGCACAGATCTGGACATAAAGACTTGGAAAATCTTATGGGCACTAAAAAAAATTACACAAAAAATAAAAATAATTTTAATACAATGAATCAGGGGTCACTTAATAAAAAATAAATAATTACTTAGAAATTCTAAACTATAACAAAATTTCTAAACTGAACTAAAACTAACCTCTAAAACTAGAAAAGTAAGCACTGTGTATAGGTAACAGGAATAGCTGCCAGAACTGGAAAATAAAATAATCTAAAAATCAAACTGAATCTTCATTAGTTGCAATTAAAGTAAATCAACTGCAGAACATATATATATATATATATACTGTTTAATCTCTGTAAGTTTCCAAACCAGGCATATGAAGTGACTGAGGACATTATATGGCAGTGTTTTCCTGACTGGTTTGGTTGGATGCTGCTTCACTGGACATCAGTGTGCTCTGCCTGTGTCATTACAAGCAGCTGTTGTCAGGTTTATAACTGACAAATATAAGGATCTGACTTCCAGCATGAAGTAAGTTACAGACACATAAATACAGGGAAAATATCCTTTATAAAATAGAGAAAGGCAGAAAAGGGCATGGGAGTAAAAGGGATCATGTTTTGAAAAAGTTGTCTGTCTGCCCAGAACTAATTCTTAGGATGGTATGGTCATCGTAGACTCATGTTTATTCTCTTCCTTTCATTTATATATTTGTAGGAACTGAAGCAGAGGGTCAGTTTTCCCAAACACTGAGCACAGACTAAAGTAGTAAAGTCCTTCATTAGTAATCTGTCTGCCTATGTTTTTTTAACATGCTGAGCATGTACAGTTGCCAGCTTACAGATTACGTGACCCATATCAGCTAAGATGAGCTTTTACTCCAGCCTGTTGATAAAGGAATAAAATGCAGAGTGGAGCTGAGTTGTGTGGTATATCAATGATGAGTAATGGAATGGGTTTGGAGCTGAACCATGTGAGTAGACAAAAGAGGGATACTACCTAGCTTGGGAGAGAATGACCTAATAAGGCCAAACATGAGTTTAAAGAAAGCTTTTGTGTAAGGATAGAAAAGTGAAAGTTTATTTTGCTTACTGAATTTCCCATTGAAGTGACTGATTGGTGCTAAGATTTATTATGTTGTTAATGATTTGCTAGAGTACTTAGAACTCTGTTAAAATTATTTTAATTTAAATGGCCCATATTTATGCTTATATCTTTTCAAGTTGAATCAGGAAACCAATACTTCAAAAATGTTAAAGTGCATTTGGAACAAAGTCTGCTTTGAAGTCATTAGGCTGTCGTCCCCCCATAGGTGCTTTTCCAAGCTTCTTAAAGCCGATTTATTATTGCTTGTAAAAAGCAAAAACATAAATCTGGCAAATAGAAAAACATTTTGATGTGGTTTTGTATACATTAATAGTGACACAATTTAAAAGTGAGCCTTGATTTACAGAATTTTCAAATACTTGTTGGAAAGTGACTCTGGTGATGCTCTTTGTTTCCCTCTGTCAGATAAACCCAGTCTTGAGGTGTGAAGACACTGCCATTGCTACTCTAATTCTGGCAATCTTACTGATAAAGCAGATTTTGTTAAAATTGCAGAGTCACTAAAGACTATTTTTTCTCCTGTTTTGACAACCACACACACTCCTACCTGCTTTTATTTTGCAACAGTACACTTCATATCTCAGCTAAGTAGTGTGGCCAGTTCATTTGTTAATGCTACTTGACTTGTACGTTTACTGGGGATGTACGTGCACCTTAAGTTATTATTTTTGATCAGAGAAACCGTCTCACTGTATTCCAGACAAAGCTAGAAAGGCAGGCTGTGTTTTCATCTCTGGGGGCTACTTCCCTCCCCCCACTTGCCTGCATGTGATCCTCTCTCGCAGAAGTAATCAGCGCACAGCTTAGGGAACAAGAGTTCATTGCTGCCTGCTACTGACTCGCAACATCTGCAGAAAGGCTTCACAGGACCAGATCCAAAGCATAAACATGCATTTAAGAGAAAGGAAATCAAGGAATAGCAAAACGCATTATGCTTAAAAGAAGTAATTAAACTTCCTTACAAGCCACCCGAACAGAATTTTCCCATCTAATGTTTTTCTTTTCCCACAAATGTGTTTAAAACAGCTTAACAGCAATAAATAAATACTCTGACTCTGTGTAATTGAGCAGTACTGCTTTGATACGTCCCAATACCCAGGTATTTACTCTGCACTATACGTGAGGCATTACACGGACATACGTACACATGCAAAGTCAAAGGACGTGCCACAGAGATGAGCAGGGGGGTACAGACCTGAAGCTCTGTTTCCAGAAGTGGCCCACCTGGTTCACTGTTTAGCCAGTCATAGTTTCCCCTGTCAGCGTGTCCAAATTTTTTCAAGCTGCTGCCCAAGAGCCACCTCATGCTTTCATTAACCTGGTCTTCTGTCTTCGTGCCTCCACCTTGCTTCACTGCTTGCAACTGCGTCCCCGCCTCCCAGCCTCGACCCAGCCGGGCTGCTCTCAGCTAATGATCCCTCTTAAATGATATCCCCTTTATAGTGGAAAAGACAAAAAGAAGTTACACACCCCCTCGTCGTCAGGAAGCCAAGCAAATAGATCTCAGAGCCTCTCTCCACTTCCAACTCAATCTCTCTGGATTTGCTTCGGTGGCCTACATTACCAGCAAAGCTGGCATCAGGTATCTGGGAGCTGGGGCTGATAGCGCTCTGATTGGAGCACTCCCTGCATTAGGATTATTAAAAGGGGAATTTGCATGTGAATCTGAGCCCACATGGTCATGACTCTGTGTGGATAAATAACACTCTATATTTAGTTGTCTAATAAACACTTTTTCCCCAAAAAATAAAATAAATAAACCCCACGCTTCTATGCTGAGAGTGAAAGGGTAGCTGAGGTTCCCCCCACAGTTACACAGCACAAGGAGGAACCACAATCCAGATAGATTTTTTTCCTCCCTGTTGCTGAAATATACTGTGAGAGTGGTTTCTGAGTAGAGAGGCAAGGACATAGGGCTAAATGCTGTACTGAATTATTTAGCACTGTTAGGATGTAGATGTTAATGATAAATCCGGAGAGAGAGCTCTGCCAGGAAAGCTTTGGTCACTGTTAGAGTGTATGATTGCTTTCGGTAATAACGAGTTTTCAGTTCAGTTAAATCAGGACTTGTTTACAGCTTTCTAGGATATTCATTGTTACATGGCAATTGTTTCCAGTGAGAAGACTTTGAGCTCTTTATGCAGAAAAAAAGCAACACAAACTTATTTCACTGAGGTATGGTAACTTCTGAGGGGAGGAGTATTTAACCGAAGTTGCAAGTTAAATCAAAGTTTAACTCTTACTGAAAAGTTGGTGGTGTCTTTTTCAGCCTTGTTGTGAGCATAGAGAGAGGCTGTTAGTAACATCCTTTCAACTGTAGTTCATTTTGTATGGTTTCTCAAAGCTAACCTATTTGAGCAAAAGTTGTGTTTGAGACCGATGGTACAAGATTGGGGTTAGAATCTTCACCTCTTATTTCTTGCTTGAACTCTTTTTCATCAACTCGTCTTTTAGCTCGTGGCTTCCAGAAAATTGCAGGCCTACTTGGCAGCAGCAGGCTCTATTCCTCCAGCTCCAACAATGGCAATTCATAGGCCAGTGCTTGCTGTTTCTGACAAGAATACTCTGGAAGAACTGGTTCCAAGGCTGGATGTGATCCCTGTGTCTGCAGCGTGTAGGAGGGATTTACCCTGCAGGTGAACCATGGCTGTGGGAGAGAGAGGCCATTGGTTGATAAGTCTAACCTGTTTTGTTACCGAAGTTGCCTGGTGAGCAGTGGATGAAGGCCTGGTCTTGGTGCTGAAGCAGCTGCATTGTTTGTTGGAAACCGACTTCCACTCTTGCTTCTGTTGAGAAGGTCTTGTGTGAAGACAAAAAGCTCACCTCAGAAAAGCAATTGCATGCTTGTAAGAAGACTCCTTCTTTCCTCAGTGCTTCACTTCTCATCTTGGAGAGCACTTTCAGAGCTGGTGAGTGTTTCCAGCTGCAGCCAGGTCCAGGGGAGTTATGCTGTGAACTACAATGTCCACTGAGAAGCGGGGCCCTAAATGTGGTTTAAGAGGTCACACCAAGGTAGTGAAACACTTCTGACTTGATGTCTCAACACCTTGTATGGAAGCAAGAATGATGACCATCTTTCCCAAACTGGTGTTAAGAAAATAAATTCCATAAGGAGTCTTGTGACTGTGTAGCTTAAATCTATAATCTTAGATGCAAGCAGGAGAAATTCATATACTATCTTAATTAGGGTCTTAATGCAGCTCCTATGCTATTATTAATGCTATTTTTAGGAACTTGCTATAAATTTGCTTTGGGACTGTGCATGAATAATGAGAAGTAAAAAATTACATCTCCTTAAAGTATAAACACCCTGTTTGGCATCCTTGGATTCTAGTTAGATGGATTTTAGGAAAAAAAAAAAAAAAAAAAAAATGCACTTCTAAGACTCACTGACCTGATTTGCAAAGTGCTGCTTTGGATTTCCGACCTCTGGAAAATGTTTAAGAAAGACTTAATTTTGTAGACCTGAGGCCAAATGGGAATTTGGGAAAATGCAGTGGCCTTTGTCATGCAGGTAATTAGAATATAAAACAATGATTGTCTCTCTGGCTTTTTATATCGTCAGTGGACCCAGCAGCAAGATTAGTGAGAGTAATGGGATACTGTGTTTCTACTGCCAGTGGTTGGATGCCCATTTGACACACTACCCTTGTAGAGTAGATCTGCTCTTGTGTAGAACTGAAACAGTACCACCTGAGACTGGGTTTGTGATGGCCAATTTGTTGCAGATTTCTGCCAGCCTTGTGGGGAACACATGACACTTTTCATTCTCACAAGGAATTCATAAATACCATTTCAGCTGGGGCATGCTGTAATGTGAAAACTGGGTGGAGGAGGTTCATCCTTGATTCCAAGCCACATGGCCAGATGTCAGGCTTGTCACTTTGAAGTGTGGGTCAGGTTGACCTTTGGAAATCATCAGATCTTGACATGTACAAAATGTCCTCCCCTCTCTTGGCACTGATTTTGTTCTTTGAAATAGCTTAATTTAGCAGTTGCACTGTCAAATAATCTGGAGAAAATAGCTGACATGGAATAGTTAAAGTTTGGTAAAGGTTTGTGAAACAATGCCACTGTTTTTTAACTGAGGCAGTGTTCCTAGTATCGCTTCCAATATCCTGGCAGGGGAACAGGGAGAGACAGTCTGAGGCAATCACTGCAGAAAATAGGCACCTCCACTGTCCTCAGTTTGAAGCTCAAACTGTTTGTCATAAATAATTCATCACTCTGATTTCCTGAGATGTTCAAGGCTAGCAGTGCAAGTCTAGGCTGTACTGCCACTAATATTGGTAGGGAACAGAATATCCACAGTACCATAGATACCTTTCAAATTTCTTGCTACTTTCTCCCCCAGTTTCTTTTGCTACTTTCACAGGTGCTGGTGAAACTTCCTTCCTTGAATGACTGCACTGCTGTGAGAGAGGGTATGAAGGCTAACCTGAATAATGTAAAACTAGAATTTTAGTGGGTGAGGTGTTACCAGTGTAAACTGTCCAGGGTTGTCAGGTGTAGATTCACTGCGTGAAATGGAGGAAGATGATGACTTTTGCCTAAAACCAGCTGCTAGGTGCATCTGTGTCCTTCAGGCAGGAGTGGTGTGGGCTTCTGTCCATTACTTTTACTTGGGTAACTAAGCAGTTCGGTTTTGTTCTTTTTTTGATAAATTTCTCATGATATTGAAATTTTGGTTTTACTTTTTTTTTTTTGGTTAATTATCAATACATTTATTTTTCCAAAACCAAAGCAGATTCTGAAGTGCAATCTCATCTCCCCACGAAACTAAAACCACTGTCACTTCAAAGGATAGATACAAGTTTGCATAGTCCTGCTGAGAAACAGTGTTCTGGAGATCAGTGTTTGCGGACAAGGTGCACATACTCATGGCCTGTGGAAATCAGAGACAGGAAGACTCCACTACAAAAATGTGTGCATGCCAATGCTACCTTGGTGCAGAAGCAGCAGTGGCCGTGGAGGCAGGAGGAGGTACTGCTGAGTTATTGATCCCAAATCCTCGTGCTGATGTGTAGCTGAAAGCAAAACATTTAGAGACAGTGTTAGGGACAGAGCTCAGGTTGCTGCAGTGCAGGAGCAGGGTTGCCTCCTGCAAATATCCCTTAAAATTCTATAAGTGTAATAACACTTGAAAAACTCTATGGCCATGGCAGAGTGCTGGTGGCTGAGCAGCATCTATTTGATGATACTGTCTGGAGCTATGGGGTTTTTTTTTTTTTTATTTTATTTTTTGTTATTTCTGTCGATCTAGGTTTGTTCCCCTTCATTTACAGTTGGTCATACTTATCCTGAATACTTGTTTTCTCTTATTTAAGAGAAAAATCTGCTGCTCTTATATTTAAGAATGCGTATCTGCCAGTATACACTGTATGGAATTTTGTTCCTATTTAGCCAAACTGTAGAAATTCTTTGTTTGTTAGGGAGAGTGAGAGAGATGGTGGTGTGGTTGGGGTTTTGGAGATTTGAGGTTTTTTCAGCTCATGTTGTCTTATGCAAATACTTAGTCATCTGGTTGATACTTTATAGACCTGTCAGGATGGTGGGACAGCGAATAACCTGCTGTGTAAGAGCACTGTCCAAAAGTGAGCAGTTATCTTTCAACTCAGACAGCACCTGGTGGAGAGGGTCAGGTACTCAGTGGGATCAGCTGCTCCCCTGAACTGTTGCAGGGGCTGAAATGCCCGATGTGAGGGTTTCCCCAGCACTGGGAGCCCAGTGTGTCCTGCAGCTGCTGCCTGGCTAACAGAGCCTGTCCCAGCAGTGCTGGCAGCTGGAATTCCCAATGTCTCTCTTGGCCTGGGTGTGCAGTGATCTCTGTCAGTGTGCCACTGAAAGACATTTCTCTCTCCAGGGGACCACAGTGAGGACAAAGACCAGAAAACACAAATGTTTTTAAAGTGGGACTAACCTTGAAGAACATGACACATTTTTCATCACTGTCCTAAACCCTGTGTGTCCGTGTGTATTATTAAAGTGTTAGGGAATTGATCTCAGCATTAGTTTGTGTTTTGGGGAAATGGAGGTTGGGTTATGTGTGGATTGTGGGTTTTCTTTTGAGGGAAGTGGGAATTAAACGTTTGGATATGTTTTTTACTTTCAGGCTGAGATACGCTCATTTTATTTATTCTATCTTCCTGATGCTGTGAGACTCTCTTTTCTTTATGCTGATGTTTTGGGGTGCAAAAGTTGTGCTGCCATCCCCAGCACTGACTGTGCTATCAGAGTAAGTCAAAATTTTGTGATTGAGAAAGGGGCAAATGTTAAACTCTTTTTTTTTTGTCTTACCTGTCATAGCTAAATGGGCTGTGGGCCAGTTTCCTACTGTGTTATATTACTTATGTTCAGTGTAAACAAAATCAA